CTTGGCCAGAGCAGGCCCGGGAGGATCTTTGTCGCGGAAGAGTCTCGCCCCAAGGCGCGCGCGGCCTGGCCAGAGCAGGCCCGGGAGGATCCTTTAGTCGCGGAAGAGTACCGCCCCAAAGGCGCGCGCGGCCTTGGCCACAAGAGGCCCGGGAGGATCTTTATCGCGGAAGAGTCTCGCCCAAGGCTGCGCGCGGCCAGAGCAGGCCCGGGAGGTCTTTGTCGCGGAAGAGTCCGCCCCGGCCGAGGCCGGCCCGGAGGTCTTTAGTCGCGGAAGAGTCTCGCCCCAAGGCGCGCGCGGCCTTGGCCAGAGCAGGCCCGGGAGGGTCTTTAGTCGCGGAAGAGTCTCGCCCCAAGGCGCGCGCGGCCTTGGCCAGAGCAGGCCCGGGAAGGTCTTTAGTCGCGGAAGAGTCTCGCCCCAAGGCGCGCGCGGCCTTGGCCAGAGCAGGCCCGGGAGGGTCTTTAGTCGCGGAAGAGTCTCGCCCCAAGGCGCGCGCGGCCTTGGCCAGAGCAGGCCCGGGGAGGGATCTTTAGTCGCGGAAGAGTCTCGCCCCAAGGCGCGCGCGGCCTTGGCCAGAGCAGGCCGGGGAGGATCTTTAGTCGCGGAAGAGTCTCGCCCCAAGGCGCGCGCGGCCTTGGCCAGAGCAGGCCGGGGAGGATCTTTAGTCGCGGAAGAGTCTCGCCCCAAGGCGCGCGCGGCCTTGGCGAGAGCAGGCCCGGGGAGGATCTTTAGTCGCGGAAGAGTCTCGCCCCAAGGCGCGCGCGGCCTTGGCCAGAGCAGGCCGGGGAGGATCTTTAGTCGCGGAAGAGTCTCGCCCCAAGGCGCGCGCGGCCTTGGCCAGAGCAGGCCGCGGAGGATCTTTAGTCGCGGAAGAGTCTCGCCCCAAGGCGCGCGCGGCCTTGGCCAGAGAGGCCCGGGAGGGTCCAGGCCCGGGAGGGTCTTTAGTCGCGGAAGAGTCTCGCCCCAAGGCGCGCGCGGCCTTGGCCAGAGCAGCCCGGGAGGGTCTTTAGTCGTGTGTGAGGCCAGGAAGTGTGTATGTGTGTTTGTGTGTGTGTGTCTGCGTCATGAAGTGAGGAGGAGGAGTGAGGAGGAAGAGGAGGAGGAAGGAGGTGAAGGAGGAGGAGGAGGAGAAGGAGGAGGAGGAGGAGGCGGGACAGCCCCAAAAAGTAAGAACCCCACACATTGATGTGGGGAATAACAAAGGTGATGCAAAGATGATAAGGTGATACAAAGGTGGTAATATGAAGAGTGATCGGGAGGCAAGGTGGGAGAAGCGGGGAGGCATGGGCTTGAGGGCAAGTGAGAAGGAGCTGTGTGTGCTGCCGCTGGGGTTTGGCTGGGGCTGGGCCACTGGAACTGGGGCTGGGCCGATTTTAAAAATCGGGTGTTGGGCAAGGCTGCTGGCTGGGGCTAGGCCACAAGGCTGGGGTCGCACCACCTTGTGGTGGGGCTGGGGCTGGGCTGGTGGCTGGGGCTGGGCCATGTGGGGCCACGGGGCAAGGCCAGGGGGCTGGGTGCTGGGCTGCTGGTTGGTGGGGCTGGGTGGGCTGGGGCCTTCGGGCTTGCGGGGGTGGGGTTGGGCTGGCCTGCTAGGGCGGGCAGGGGCCGGCCGGTGGTGAGAGGGCGCTGGGCTGGGTTCCGGAAGATTTAAAATTTTGAATATCTTTAAAATCTTAACCTTTTCAGATTTTAAAGATTTTAAAGCTTTTTAAAATTTTAAATCATTAGGGTCTGGGCTCCAGGCCACCAGGCCACAGAGATATGTTTAAAATTCTAAAATCTTTACAATCTTCAAAATCTGTAAAATTTGAAAAGGTTAAGGTTTTCAAATTTTAAAGATTTTAAAGATTTTAAAGATTTTAAAAGCCTTTAAAATCTTTAATCTTTAAAATCTTTAAAATTCTGAAAAGGTTGAGTTTTTTTAAATTTTAAAGATTTTAAAGATTTTTAAAATTTTAAATCATTAGGGTCTGGGATCCAGGCCACCAGGCCACAGAGATATGTTTAAAATTTTAAAATCTTTACAATCTTCAAAATCTGTAAAATTTGAAAAGGTTAAGGTTTTCAAATTTTAAAGATTTTAAAGATTTTAAAAGCCTTTAAAATCTTTAGAATCTTTAAAATCTTTAAAATTCTGAAAAGGTTGAGTTTTTTTAAGATTTAAGATTTTAAAAATTTTTAAAATTTTAAATCATTAGGGTCTGGGATCCATCCAGGCCATCAGGCCACAAAGATATATTTAAAAATTGAAAAATCTTTAAAATCTTTAAAATCTGAAAAGGTAAAATGTTTCACATTTTGAAGATTTTAAAGATTTTAAAAGCCTTTAAAATCTTTAAAATCTGAAAAGGTTGGCTCCATTCCACAGATACCTAGTATTGGTAAATAAAGCAAAGCCATACGCCAAATAGACCCTAAATGTCCTACGTACATATTAATATACATGTATAAATGTATAAATGTATGCATATATGTATATATGTATATGTATGCGTATATATATATATATATATGTGTGTGTGTCTGTATATATGTACATATGTATAACTGCATGCATGCATATGTGAGTATGTATAGATCTGGATATGTTTTGTACCCATGTAGTTATGTGTAGATATGCCCTTCTTTGTCCATGTCTATGTCTATGTGCCCTCGTGCCCGTGTGCCCTCGCGCTCGTGCCCGTGTGTCCTTGTGCCCTTGTGTCCTTGTGCTCTTGTGCCCTTGCCGTGCCCTTACGGTGCCCTTTCCGTGGCCTTGCCGTGCCCTTGCACCCTCGTGACCTCGTGCCCTTGTGCCCGGGATCACTGCGGAACCTCTCTCGAATGATGCCTCGGATGATGCACCTACATTCTCCGAGCTTTGTGCGGAGCATCTGATTTTTTGCGTTTGCACCTTTTCGGGATGCTGTCCCCGGCGCTACTTTGTCGGCAGCCACGATGTGGGCAATGCTCGTTTCGCCGGTCTTACGCATCGCTGTGCGAGGGGTTTGGTCGAGGTCCTAGGCTATCCCTCATTTCGCCTGCAGCGTTGGCACCGACCCACCCCCGCTGCCAAATCGCTCTCTGAACTCCCCTGAGTAGCAGTGCTGTAACGCTGATGGTCACAGCGCAGACCCCAGTGTGGGTGCGTCGTGTTACATGTTGCACATATTGCGTCATGTCTTCTCACTTTGCACAGCGTTCAGAAGGCTTTGCCGATGCAGGAAGACATGGGACTGACACTGTCGGGCACATCCCCGCGCCTGTTTCCCAAGAACTGACACCGAGGTCGCGCACCTGCAAACGGCGAAAGATCACAAGAGCCGGGGCATGAAACAGGGGCATTCGACAACAGGCAGCATTTTTTGCGCAGATCCCGGTTCCAAGGGCGCACGCTTTACCTTTTGAGCGCACGAACCAGTGGTGCAATGGGCATTATGAAGCATTTGGCATGTCTGAATTCTGCTGTTGCACAAGGACGTGCGGATGCTATCCGCAGGCCCTTGCCAAAAAACAAACAAAACTCTGAGCAAGGCACTTGTTGCTTGACGGTCTACGAACAGCTATCGAATAGTTTTCAAAATGGTGTTTGTTGCGGCTTGGCTGGTGGAAGCCCGCTTGTCACCCACCGGAGAAAACACCCGCCAAAATCGGAGTGTTTCATCTGCGGAGGAGGAACATACAAGCGAACCATCTGGACTCTGCGCGAGTCCCAGCAACCTACCTTCGTGCCCTTCCAAATCACCAACTTTGACAAGCGAAGGATACTTCCAAAGAGACAGCTGGTTCCTGGAATATCCATGAGCTGTCAGAAGCTCTCGCTCCTGCTGCCCCCAGATAATCCCAGTGACTTGGCTCTCTGCATGCGTCGACATCAACATTCGGCCGCTGGAAGCATTCCAGAGGCAGACTTGCCGATCTGCAGAGCCTCCACCAGTCGCCAGAACATGCCGCTGCCATGGACACCACCGAATGGCTTTCACAGCAGCCTGGTGCTCTGTGAAGGTGTGCAAAGGCGTGCAAGAGCTAGGGGTCTCCCAAATGCAAACCAAGTTGTCATTACCTCCTGATGCCAGCATCCCCTCGGAATTGTAGTCAAGACCACAGACCAAGTCTGCATGAGAGATCATTCGGCCGACTAGGTGATCACGTATGCGAACGTCATGCTGATGGATCTCTGCATCTGCACAACCGCTGCTGAGGATATGTGAATGCCAGGCAAGTGCCCCGACTCGGCCAGCATGCCCACGAAGATTTCGCAGCTGGCGCTGAGCTACTGCATCCCAGATTTGCACCTCACCTGTTGATGCGCCGACGCTCAGATGACCCCCTGCCTCCGTCCAGCGGAGAGTTGTTATGGAACCACTGGGTAGCTGCAGTAGTTTCTGCGTGCTGCCAGTAGCTGCATGGAACAGGAAGACCATGTCAGATAGTGCAACTGCTACGACATTCTGCGATGACCAGTCAATGGGGTGACTGTAAAAGTCGTCCAACATGCCAGGTGCGTCCAGAACCTTGGCAGCACTCTGAGGAAGCTGCCTGCATGTCCTAGACCCGGCTCTGACGCCATCCCGGTTGCTGCTGTAGAGCACTTTCAACTCATTTAGACTTGGCTCTTGCTTCATTGGCTTGTGCTGGTAGCTCAAGATCTTCACATTGCTCAAGGCCTCCTTTCCAAGCACATTCTGCGAAAGGACCTCGTGATACTCGTTCTGCGGTGCCCAATTTTCGTCTCTTTCCAACTTGAGTTGTCTAACTTCACTGCATGAACCTCGCGAAGGTATGAGCCGATCTGACATGCACACGTCTCCTGGTGCACGCCCACTTACGGAACTCCCATCATCCATGTCTGCAGAGTCGGAATGTCTGAGCGCCATGGAACCGGTCCATACAAGCTACCAGATCCTGCTGAGCCAAATGGCTGGAACAAAGGAGTGTGACTCTGTGACCTTATGAAAATCATCCACTAGAAGCAAAGCTCAACCACAATGACCTTGGCTTCCATGCATGCAGCTGTGCCTTCACTCTGCAACAGGCGGCCGTGTTATCACACCGGGCTCTCTTTCAATGACCACCTTGAAGAGTCTTGTGGGAAGACTGATGGTCCCGTGGAGGTGCATCATGTGCATCCAAAACCCCTTCAGAACTTCATTTGAAACCGGCGGCGGGGCCAGTGCCGCGTCTCCATTCAGCCACGGCAGCTGCAAATGCCTTTCTCTCAGCCTCCTCTGCTTCTTTTAGCTGTTCTCGCGCCTGCACGAGCGCCTCATGATGCGGGATGCCGTCAACTCTGGCACTTTCTCAAAGGCATTTGCCACACACACACACACACACACACACACGCATGGGGCCTGATTGTCGTACCGTAGGCCGCCAGTGCTCATCACCACACCTTAGTCCAGCCAGCTGCGAACTGAAACGTTTCGCAAGTTGCGCAAGGTTTACGAACACCGGCTTGGAAGAACATCTTGTTTATCGGAACTGTGTGCCTCACTCTCAATTGCCTTTTGCAGACGGGTCCTTGCAGTTGCACCATCGGCATTGTCTATGCCCACAGCACCACCGCCTCATCAAGGAGAATCGAGCGGTAGCGTTTTGCAGTCAGCGGCACCGGTACGCAGAGGCATTCCCGAGCACGTGAAACCTCTGCAAGAATTAGCAAGACCTAGGACCTGCAACCGAGCCACCAATACGCTGGAGCCACCGTGTCAAGGACGATGGGGTGGACGGGTCCTGTGTTTCGTCTCCACTGCTCAAAACAGGGCATGTTTCTGCACTCCGACTCCAGGGTGAGTAAACCGTACGTGTAGCAGCAAAGGTGCCGAGAGTTGCCGCACCAGCGCCTCATCGCTCAGCTCGCAGTGGGTGAAGACAAGCATAGTGTGACCTTGTTGACTGTGACAAAAAGCAAAAAAGAACACTAGGCTAGTTTCACGCAAGCCATGATGCAATCAGTCTTGGCAGACAAAGCGTGCAGCAATAGCAATGGTGCACTGTAAGCCAGCAGTCAGAGCCATGGAATAAAGCGATGACAGACGAAACTCGCAAAGGCAGACGGGCTGGCAATGCTGACTTGCCAACGTGCGGCTGCCACGGCTGTTTATTTAACAACGTAGAGGAGAGAATGCACAATCGTGAAAGCATAGACTGGCCTAGCATCTTAGCACACAGATCCAGAAACCGATCCAAGTTTCCGATGCCATTAACCGGGCGACGCAGCGCTGTTTCACCGCAGTTCGCGGCAAACGCCGCAAGGGCCTCGTCATGCTCAGGTTTGAAGCGGCCCCAGCGCACCACGAACAGGAAGACGCTGATTCCTCAAGATGCTTGGCTGGCCGAACCCACGTCGACAAATGTAGTTTGGCAACCCTGCCTTCGGCCGCTGCTTCAGCGAAGGTGGAGAACCGATCTAACACCTTCACCCATCTTCGGCTGCGATGCAACAAGGTCATGCGGCGGGGGCTCGACTGTGCGGCTCTTGAACTTCATGATCGAAGCATGTGCAGTTCATTCAGCCTCCTTTTGCGAAAGGCCCGTATCGTTCAAGCCGACCGTGTCAATGATTCTCCAAAAGCTGCCGCCACGAAGGTAATCTGCGTGCGCCAGTTCCTTCTAAGAAAGATCAAACAAACAATCGTGCTCCAAGCGGCATGCAACTGTCAATGCCAGCCTGCGTCTCTGAATGAAGACCGCCAGAAATTGGAAACACTGCCTGTCCACACCTGGAAAGCTGTAAAACCATTTTAGAACGAAGAAGGCGACGACACAAGACATGACGCAGCAGGCAACGCACTGTAAACATTTTGCCTTTTGGCTTCCTGAGCTTGTTCTTCTCCCCTGGCCCTCCGTGAAAGCCCAAAAAGGCATGGACTGGCGCTGACCTAGCCTATCCTGTGGCCATGCAGGGAGGGGAGCCGAGGGCGAGCCACCGAGTAGAAGTCCACAATTGGGAATAACGGCTTAAGAGTCTTTGCGGCCACTTGCGGCCAGCATTTGCACTTAGTGTTGCTGACAAAGGGCAATGCATTTCCTGTAGAGCTTTTTCCATCACCAGTCACTCCAACGAGGACCAAGGTGTGATGCTGATCACCTTCCTGCACAGCATCTGCCAAGCATGCAGCATGTCTAGGTTCTGCGCGTGGCACCATGGAACACTTAGGCAGGGCTTAAGTCTGGGAAAAAGCCGGCAACCCGATCCAGCAGACTTGCAGCATCAGGATTCAGCATGGCCCGACAGAGGCTTAACTATGGCTCGGGCAATATGAACTGTGCGGGACTTAGAGCTGAGGAGGGCTGCAGCATGCCGACTGCTGCAGAAGCAGCAGCGTACGTAACACGTTTCTTGCAAATCCTGTTACACTCCATGGGGCAATGAAGCTTCGTGTTGCGTCAGCCCGGGCAAGCAACTAGGGTACGCCGCACGCTTTCGACCTGGCGCTTCAAGTTCACAGACTCACTGTCAGGTACCAGCCCTCTCACGAAGTCTAGGTTCAATCCCTCGCTCTTTGTCGAACTGCCACGTCCACAATGCAGCGGCAAACGAATTGGCATGCAGTCTGGCCAGGTTGCAGCTGAGATTGGTAAGCCAGCTGCAGCTGTGTCTTGTGGAAATGAAATGAAGCGAAGTCACTAAGCTCTGCGACAATCAACAGCAGCTGCAAAAACGTCACAACGAGTTGTGAAATGGCCAAGCCCTAGCCAAAGTCAGAACCTCTGGGCTGTGCAGCTCTGAGTGTTTGAACACATATTTTATGACAAAGGGAAGTGTCTCATTTCCCTGCGTGTTTCGCATGATCCATGGTCGTTCAAGGACAAGGCTCTCTCTGCACCCCGGTTCAGCAAGGGACAGGCGGATAAGGCAAACGAATTGCATGGCACCCTACTTGAGTGAAAAGCTACTCGACATCACAAGCATCGACTGGCGATGGCCCGCTCAGAAAAATTGTCGGGGGCAAGTGGGCATGTCCAAAAAGCCGATGGCATGCATGAAGCAAGTGCAACAGCAAGACAATCTGATGATCTGGAAGAAAGTGCGACGATCTTCGATCGTCGCACCTCATGTGTGGAAGTCAAGCAAGGACAATGACTGTAATATCTCAATCCGTCATCACTCATCGGCAACTCGCGTCATGACCTCCTTCCAGCTCGCATAAACACTCACTTTACGTGGCCGTGAAATCCGAGGCTCTCCGTTCCCATGCTGCGCGTGGATCACATCCAGAGACTCTTGCACTGCACTGAGCCTCTCTCGAAGCCATGAAATCATACCTTGGCCAAGAGTGCAGAAAATGCTGCGTCACAGAGGCCAATGAAACACCAATGAAGGCAAGTCGACAGCCAGCAATAAATCATACTGTAGACAAGTCACGCTTGTTGCAGTACATCAATGTGGCCAGATCAATCGCCTGGGCGGGGCCCCGCAGGCGCAGGACGCCGTCGAGAAGTTCATCGAAGCTTACCTTTGAAGACCCCGTGGTGTCCAGCAGCAGGAACAGGCCTGACCGCAGCAGATGCTTCAAAGCGGCTGACTCAGAAAGCGTGTCAGCAGACGAATCCGACAGCCAGACTAGCCAACCGTGAACGCAAACTCCATGGCCTCGTGCTTCTTGTGCCTCCATGCCCAAGGCACTCAGAAAGTACTTCGACTGATCCTCACTCTCTATGAAGCGATCCTGACGCTTTGGCTGCCAGATAACAGATGCAGTAAACATTACCTGCTTTCGGTGCATCGGACTGCATGGTAACCACCTTGCACTCTGCTGTCTTATCCGCGCCCTTTCGTATCTAGCCATGGGCAATAAAAAAGGATCCACAGCCTAAGGTTGTGGAAAAGCTGCTTAGGTGCCACCTTGCACTCCAACAAGAAATTTGCGGCCAGCCAGCAAACTCTTCCATGGTGAGGTCGCCATCTTGATTGAGATCAGCTTTGCGAAACAACAGGCGCAGTTGCCTTCGAATCTCCTGATACCAACGCCCAACACATTGTCCCCTGTGCAAGCCCTAAACTGGAAGCATGAGAGAGAGATTGCAAAAGGAATCTTGATCCATCGCAAGAAATGCACTGCAGGAGCAGCATGCACCCAACTTTGGCGCCTTCTCCCTTTGCCGCTCGTGAGCACTTAAAGAAGCCTGCACAAACATTCCGGTCGCAATATTCATAAGAGCGAGAACCACAAAGGCCACGTAAAGTGCCTGGGCTTCAGACACACGATAAAACACACCTCATCAAATCATGTATGAATCATGGCACCTGTGCGCCGGGTATTCCGAGGCACGTAGGGAATCCCGATCCAAGCTCCGGCAGTGTCAGCCTCGGACAACCAGAACACATGTCAACATGGAACATGTTGCCCCGAATCTTTCCGTGCTTGCTTTTCCCCTGTCCCTATGCCTCCATACAACACTCGCTGCCTGAAGTCATTCGTATCTGCTGCTTGGACGCTAGTGGTCGCAAAGCCAAGTCCCAACTGAGTCCGCCCGTCATCGACTGGTACAAAGACAGCATCGTGCCTCAGCTTCAGTAACCGCGAGCCGGAAATCTCCAAGACTCCAAATGGCCCTTTCGGTACGCTCATCAGTCAGCGGCACTGCTCTTGCGGAAGTGTTCAAGCCTTTCTGTGGACCTTGCCTACCGATAAAATGACTCCAGCGGTACAGCTCACATGAAGCCTGCAGCAACCGACAAGTACGGAAGCTTCCGGCAAGCGGCGAGATAAGTCCGAGAAGTAGAACTGCAGTTCGGGGTGCTGCAGCATGAGCTCCTTGTTCAGCGCCCCGGCATCGATGATGAACCTTCCGGTCAGCTGCACCACAACACGCAGACAACATGGTGTGGAGCATTGTGGCGCGCTGAGCCGCAACACTATGCAAGCACGCCACTGTGCGAAGAAAACTGCCGCCGCGAATATGATCATTGCCAGAAGCCTCGAAGGCAAGCTGCAGCTCTGGAAGGCAACCGGGTAACAACGCAACAAGCCAGGGCACACCATAGTCCATCCAAGAGCTCGAAGAGTAGAAAAAATCGAGAACAGCATGGATCGAAGCTCCTGTGATGCGAACAGTTATACTTGGCTCCACCATGTTCCACAACAAACCACGACACATGTCTCGCAGCGAGGAGCCTGGATGAAGCGCAGCAGTCGAACGATTCGCAGGATCCGCAACAGCCGGAACCTCAAAGCCACCACAGCAAAATGGCACGGCGCGACTTGCTCCACAACAGTCAGACTGAACAATTTGCCACGCTGCGTCCGTATGATTCGGATTGCGCTTGACGATGTGCTGAGCTGGATTTCTCCCTGGTGATCATCCCCTAGAAGAGTTGAGACTTCTTCAAAAACTTGCACACTCACAATCACCACGTCAAAATAGTTCCACTGCCAATCCTTACGTCTGCAAGGCATACCCTCCGAGCCGGTGATGAAAAATACGTTGGAACAGTTCACAACAAACACTGGTATCAAAGATAATCAAATCTTTCTGAAGTCGAACCATGAGGCCATTCGCCAGAAGAAGGCTGGGCCGTATGCGACCACTCGCACGAGAAGTTCCAAGGCGAAAATTCCCGCGAAGAGTCTTTCTGCTATTCGAAAATGTTTGGGCTCTTCCTGGTTGATGTGCTTGAGGTTCCAATCACTGGCTGCTCCAATCATGATCGTATTCAGGCCAATGCAACACACCACGAAACCTTCGAACCAGGTTGTTTCGACAATCCTCCGCTGCAAACTGATTCGCATGTTCATGAAACGCGTTCGCTGCTCATGTTCGACTTCCCAGCTATCCGTCTGCATCGACGCAGGTGATGCCAGCATCGCCAGGACCGATTGCCGAAACGTTTGATGACTCCCATCTGGTACGTCAAGCTCTGCCACGGAATGCAAAAGACTGTGTCGAATCTCTGCTGCACCAACTTGGGCCGTCCTTCCTGGGTCTCCGCAAATCGTGCTTCGTCGACGCAACTTGGGAACTTCGAGAATGGATGAAGGGCGTTCTCCAAAAGCTGCTTGGGATTCCACTGGTTCGCGAACGCCAGGTACCACATCATCCTGCGTGTTGCATGCGGGCTCAAGAACACAATGAGGAGCCGCAAAACTGGCGAAATCTTCCGCGCTGCCAACTTGGACCGCATCAGAACTTGTGGAACTTTCGGACTTTTCCGAAACACATGTACTGCCTGGTCTGAACGAGTGCAGGTGCTGCAAGCGATCCCACAAGTGCTCCAAGCCGACGTCCAACTCTTGAGAGAACACGCCGTGCAGGCGATTGACAATCTCGCTGATCTGTTTGTCGAGCTTGTCTTGCAACAGCGTTGCGAAAATGTCCGTCGCCTGAACTGACAAGAATGGTGCAGCCACTTGCTCAACCCTTTAGGCCACAAGTTGCACAATGAAACATGAGATCATGCCTCCTCACTGGAAGACATGGCAACATGCAATACCTTGTCGACGTGCCGAATTCGAGCCGAGATAGATTCTGTAACAACAAAATTCGAAATATGCCAGTACTGTAGGAGCCTTTCAAACTGAGTTGCGCTCCTGAACATTCGATCTGTATGTGCTTTTGCCACATCTGCTTCCAACGGCCCAGGGCCCAGGTTGCAGAATCAACGTGCTTTTGCGCAACCGGTGGCGGCATCAACGCAAACGCGTCCAATCATTAATTTCCCTCTGTCCGGTTGAAGTACATGAAACAAACGGCCATCAACATGTCGGTTAGAGTCGGGTTAATGGGGCAAGTTCGCATTCCCATATCGCGACGCATGCGATTGTCATGGGCCCAAAACGCTTTGCACAAACCTAAACAAATGTCTGCACAGTTTTGGTTTGGAAAACTCACAGTGCCGGTATCTCAGGCCGAGCAGCCCTCGCCGCCCGCATGCCTGATGAGTATACCGGGCTCATCGCTTGCAGACGGCGGAGACGACGGACGGTCACAACGGTTGGAGAAAGGTTCGAAAAGAGCCCAGTGCCGCCAGCGCGTTTTACAACTGTCTGGTGGACGAAACTTACCGATTCAGATATTTTCACCAATGGCATGGCTCAGGCAAACCTGAAGGTTCTGTGAAATACCTCACCACCCATACGCGCGACTCGCATGTTGACGATGCTTTGTTGTTACTGTTGTCATTTTTGTTTGCCTCCTGCATGGCTGAATACACGAAGCAAGGCAATAGGCACAACATCCGTGAATTATATCCGATATTCCATGATTGGTTCGGCAGGCTGATTTGCTAGACGGTTCCGCATGGGAGCGAAGTCAACACGACGGCTGGTCGTTGTCACTTCGTCTTATACCTTGCAACGATCTCATCATGCGCCATGTGGGTGTAGAGTCCAGGATAAGTAAGTTCCGACCCGATTGCCCGGCGTTGCTCTTGACTTCACCTGCCCGTATGAGATACCCTCAGGTACTGTTGGGTCTACCCCGGGCCGGATATTAGACCCCAAACCCTGGGTCTAATATCCAAACCCTAGGGTCATGCAACAGGTCATTTTAGACCTTCACGCCTTGGCCTATGATCAGGTCTCTGTTGGGGCCGTTGTGGCTCGGCATTGCTTCAGTACGTTTCAGTTCCTGTTCCCGTTCTGGCCCGTGCGCTTTTGCGTGCTAGTCCCCTGCCGGCCTGGCTCCTCCCCGGTCCCAGTTATCGTCTCTGGTTCTGCTTCTGTCCGCTTCGGTTCCGCTGTGGTCTCCGCTCAGCTCTGGAAAGTCTCGGGTTCGTTGTTCTTTTCGGTTCCAAACCGGTTTCGGATCGGATACACCCCGGTTCCTTGTGGCGGTTGGGCTGTGGTTGTGTGGTGCTGGTTTCAGTTCGGATCTTGCTGCGGTCCAATTGAGTTGTTTTGAGTGCGGGGGCCCACTTCCGAGGTCATCCGTCGCCGCCGACCCTGCATAATGTCGCCTCCCAAATGTCTCATTTCGCCTTTAAGAACCTGGGAGGAACTTGGAAAGCCTAATTACCTAATTTTCGTTTTGCGCACGGATTTTTTTCTTATCGATGCGACTCGGGCTGAGTCGGGTTTGGGTTGAGGTGGAACTGTTTTGCTTCGCAGGTCTCGTCTTGGGTTGTCGGCTTGGGGTCGGTGTCTCTGCCCTGTCGGTTCCGGCAGTTCCGTTCGTTTCAGCTCGCCTTTTTACGAAGCCCTGGCAACCCTTTATGGAGGTAGAGAAGCACGAATCCAAGAGTACTCCAGGCTGAGTTTCGGAGTTCCGGGTTTGCGGCTTCTGGGTTCAGGCGTTTAAAGTTTCTGGGTTTCTGCGTCTCTGGGTTGGGGATATTTCTGGATCTAAGTGTTTAGGGCTTCTAGGTTTCTGTTTCTGGGCGTTTCTGTGTCTAGGTGTGTCGGGTTGCTGTTTTTCGATGTTCTTCCCGAAACGCAGTTTTTGGGTTATGTGTTCAGGTTTACTGGGTTTCTGCGTTTTAGGGCGCTTCTGGGATTAAGCGTTTAACGTTTCTGGGTTTCGGCCGTATGCTGTCCAGGGGAACAAACCAGGGCACACGGGTACCACGAGCCCTCGCTTACCCATCCATAAGAAAACTGGCCACAGCAGCACAGCGCCGGCTTCCTGTTGTAGCCGTCTCGAGGTTCCTATCTTACTCAGACGTCTATGTTGGCTTGGGATCTATAGGGTCTGAAGGGTTTGGCGGGTTTGGGGTTCCTGGGTTCAAGACCTTTTCAGATTGTTGGGTTTGGTGATGTTTCTGGGCTTAGGTGTGTAAGGTTCGTGGTCTTTGCGTTTCTGGATGCTTTTGTGTTTACGCTGTTTAAGTTTCTTGGTTTCTGCGTTTTTTTGGTTTCTGGATTTGGAGATGTTTCTGGATCTAAGTGTTTAGGGCTTCTAGGTTTCTGTTTCTGGGCGTTTCTGTGTCTAGGTGTGTCGGGCTGCTGTTTTTCGATGTTCTTCCCGAAACGCAGTTTTTGGGTTATGTGTTCAGGTTTACTGGGTTTCTGCGTTTTAGGGCGCTTCTGGGATTAAGCGTTTAACGTTTCTGGGTTTCGGCCGTATGCTGTCCAGGAACAAACCAGGGCACACGGGTACCACGAGCCCTCGCTTACCCATCCATAAGAAAACTGGCCACAGCAGCACAGCGCCGGCTTCCTGTTGTAGCCGTCTCGAGGTTCCTATCTTACTCAGACGTCTATATTGGTTTGGGATCTATAGGGTCTGAAGGGTTTGGCGGGTTTGGGGTTCCTGGGTTCAAGACCTTTTCAGATTGTTGGGTTTGGTGATGTTTCTGGGCTTAGGTGTGTAAGGTTCCTGGTCTTTGCGTTTCTGGATGCTTTTGTGTTTACGCTGTTTAAGTTTCTTGGTTTCTGCGTTTTTTGGTTTCTGGATTTGGAGATGTTTCTGGATCTAAGTGTTTAGGGCTTCTAGGTTTCTGTTTCTGGGCGTTTCTGTGTCTAGGTGTGTCGGGTTGCTGTTTTTCGATGTTCTTCCCGAAACGCAGTTTTTGGGTTATGTGTTCAGGTTTACTGGGTTTCTGCGTTTTAGGGCGCTTCTGGGATTAAGCGTTTAACGTTTCTGGGTTTCGGCCGTATGCTGTCCAGGGGAACAAACCAGGGCACACGGGTACCACGAGCCCTCGCTTACCCATCCATAAGAAAACTGGCCACAGCAGCACAGCGCCGGCTTCCTGTTGTAGCCGTCTCGAGGTTCCTATCTTACTCAGACGTCTATGTTGGCTTGGGATCTATAGGGTCTGAAGGGTTTGGCGGGTTTGGGGTTCCTGGGTTCAAGACCTTTTCAGATTGTTGGGTTTGGTGATGTTTCTGGGCTTAGGTGTGTAAGGTTCCTGGTCTTTGCGTTTCTGGATGCTTTTGTGTTTACGCTGTTTAAGTTTCTTGGTTTCTGCGTTTTTTGGTTTCTGGATTTGGAGATGTTTCTGGATCTAAGTGTTTAGGGCTTCTAGGTTTCTGTTTCTGGGCGTTTCTGTGTCTAGGTGTGTCGGGTTGCTGTTTTTCGATGTTCTTCCCGAAACGCAGTTTTTGGGTTATGTGTTCAGGTTTACTGGGTTTCTGCGTTTTAGGGCGCTTCTGGGATTAAGCGTTTAACGTTTCTGGGTTTCGGCCGTATGCTGTCCAGGGGAACAAACCAGGGCACACGGGTACCACGAGCCCTCGCTTACCCATCCATAAGAAAACTGGCCACAGCAGCACAGCGCCGGCTTCCTGTTGTAGCCGTCTCGAGGTTCCTATCTTACTCAGACGTCTATGTTGGCTTGGGATCTATAGGGTCTGAAGGGTTTGGGAAGGTTCGGCATGCCGGGGTTCTCGAGTTTAGGGTTTCTGGGTTTGTGCGTTTCTGGACGTTTTTGGGGGGTTCCTAGTCTTTGGACGGTTTTGGGTTTAGGTGCTTGGGTTTCTTGGTTTCTGCGTTGCTGGGTTTGGGTGTGCTTCTGGATTTAAGTGTTCAGGGTTTCTGGGTTCCTGCTTTTCTGGGCGTTTTTGGATTTAGGTGTTTAAGGTTTCTGGGTCACGGGGTTCCTCCCGAAACGCAGTTTCTGGGTTTATGTGCTTAGGTGTTTAAGGTTTCTGCGGTTTGGGCGTTTTTTGAGTTTCTAGGTTTAGGTTTATAGGGTGCTTCAGGTTTTTGGGTTTCTGCGTTTCTCGGTTTGGTGCTGCTTCTGGGCTAGGGCTTTTGCGTTTTTGCACGATTTTGGGTTTAAGTGTTTTTAGCGTTTCTGTGCGTTTCTTTGGGTTTCGGTGTTTAGGATTTCTGGGTCTCGGGGATTTTGCGTTTCGGGTTTAAATGTGTTTGGGTTTCGGTGCTCACACTCACTCGGGCAATCCAACGTTTAGATTTCGGCGCTCACACTCGGACAATCCAGGCGCGGCATGTGGTTCGGAGTCTAATTAGTGTTTCTGAGTTTCTGCGTTTTGGGATGTTTCTGGGTTGTTATTTAATAGCTTCTCGGTTTCTGCGTTTCTGAATGCAGTTTTGGTCAAGCGATTTTCACGAGCACGCACCGCGGGACACAAATCTCACATCCATTTCGGTGCTCGTGGACCTGTAATTCAATCTCGCGACCCGCCAAACCGAGAATAGTGCGCAGCGGCGGCCAAAAGCTTAACGCCAAGTTTGGTCCAGAGACTGGAACGAGCAGGCACCGCGGGACACAAATCTCAGATCCATTTCGGTGCTCGTGGACCTGTAATTCAATCTCGCGACCCGCCAAACCGAGAATAGTGCGAAGCGGCGGCCAAAAGTTTAAAACCAGTTTTTGTCCAGCGATTTGAGTTGGGTCTGGAATCCACGGGGCTGGGAGGGTCTAATATCCTGAACCCCGGATTTCAGACCCTGCACTCTCCGGCCCCCGGGGGCCAGGATTCCAGACCCTCCAGTACCTGACCCTATCGTATGAGTGGAGGGCACATTGATCACGGTTCCATCGAGCGAAGCATCGGAGGGTTCAGGCCGCCG